AGAAAAGTATCTCATCGGACATCAACCCACAACACTATCTACCATAAATATATTTTCAAAATGGGGATCTTCCTAACCTGGAAGGAACATAATCTTGATTTTTGTACAAAAATCTGAACAAAGATTCAAACTGCATGAGTAAACTAAGCCAAAATAAGGGCTGATTTGCTACATATCCATTGATTTGCACCAGTATCATTTTGAAAAAAAACGTGTTTCACTAAGTGGCACATAAGCCGGCTTGGTTGGGGATCATGGGGGTCCTCCCAAACCCATCTAAAAATATTCATTATCTCTCATCTCCTTCCATCGCATGCCAATAATTCCCACACATCAGTTATGTTTCAGACTAATACTCTTTTGATAGTTGCTTCCCATTGCTTGTTCAATCCCCATCTGGGTGAAATAATTACCCCAACCTCTTCCTCTTGATAATAATATCCAAGCCTCTCTCTGTTTCAGACTGAATTCCTTATCTTATTTTAGCTTGGCTCTTTCTCTTGTTTCAGTCTAGTCTCATCTTATCTTAGTGCCACACTAAATTGGGTCACATTGTTCATAGTTACAATTTCCCTCCTTTTTCATTCTTTGTTTCCCTTGTTCATTCTTTGTTTCACTTGTTCATTCTTTGTACAGTGAAGATATCCAGCAGTCCTTTGGCAATTTTGAATTGTAGAATACTGAAAGCTTCAAAAACCAAAGTGTTTCATTGGACCACTAAAATTCAAATCATAAATGAGAGAGATGAAAATATTCAAATAGTGACAGGATTTTCCAAGAGGAAAATTTTGATCTATTGAAAGTGGTTTGACTCCTTGACCAAGATGAAAGACAAACTCATACCCTCTACCTCTTCCTGAATCAGCCTACTCATGACTTTGAAATTTCAGTGCGATGCTTTGATTTGACAAAGTAAATTTATGCAAATTATCTATCATTTCTTTGTCCTTTGAGCTGGGCAGTACTGCTGAATAGTGTTGCCAGTTTTGCACATCAAGCGTGTGTGGAATCAAGCGGATCCATATGTAAATACAGATACTCCACCATTTCAGTTTGTGATCTTGGCGGGATTGCATGACTTTTTGACCTCTATTCGCAAGGCAGAATTCGGTAGTAAGGGTAGCTACAGATTCAAGAATCATCGAATGAATAAGGTTTCACCAATGAGCCGAGCAAAGCTCAATTGAGATCTTCTTACTTACCCAGCTGGTTTCTACGGGGTCACAACAAAACATTTCGGTGTAGCCACAGTTCCATTGTCTGTATTTATGCCGCACTTCATTCGCCATTGCCACTTAATTGATTGTAAAGAAAAAAATGCAAAGAAAAAAGAGAAAGTGATTGTTTAAACCGCTAAACTGATAAACATACCGTTGAGGAGGGTTCAAAAGCGGAACCTACTGCTGTACCATACGATGTTGGTCTCACGATTGATGTACCTCAATCCGCAAACAGCCATGGGCCGGAGTGGGTCGTTACATTGGAAATTCGGACTCGGCGCAACCCGGGGGGAAGCTTCAAGATTCATAGAGATGCAGAGTAGAACGAGGACTGGAGCTAAAAGGTGCATTGTGAGATGGTGTATGGGATGTAAGCTGGGATAGTTTGGAGTTATAGTGAGCGGGAATATCGAGCAAACGCTAGATCTTTTTGTGGGTTGTCCTTCATGTGGACAAACAGTAGAAACGGGTCTGCTGTTTGTGGCAGCCGGTCAAGGGTTCAGGCCAGGTAATTATCAGGGTGCATATTTGAGATTCATGAAGCTTACTCCCGCCTCTGGGACCCTGTCATGGAGGACTGGTCGTAGGGGGGTCTTGAGCACTCCAACCATGCAATCTCTTTGGAAACCTAACCGTGCAGTAAAACCCGCCCAAAAAAAGAGCAGGTTGGCCTGCACACCTGGCCTGCAGGGATCCTGGCCTTTGAGGCGTGAAAGGCCTCGACGGCCGGAAGGCAACCTCCTGGCCTTCGAGCCTTGTACAGTCTCGAAGACCGGGAGCCTCCTGGCCTTCGAGACCGCCTAGTCTCGTGGGACGGGAGGGATTCCTCCCGGCCTTCGAGGCTTCTACAGTCTCAAAGGCCGGGAGATGTCCTCCCGGCATTTGAGGCTTGAAAGGCCTTGACGGCCGGGGGCTGTTAAAAAGGTATGAAATATCACTTTGGGCCAAAAAGGTGCCGTGAAAATTGTCCATTTTAGGAATGAGAAACTGTTCAAAACCAGTAAAATCTGCAATTTGACCCTCAAAATCAGAATTACTTTGGGGAACCACCTATTTTGGGGGATTTTGGCCTGAGAATCCAAACCACCTATTTCACAAATATATAGTATATTTGACCACAGTTATATTTATTTTTGGGAAATCTAATGAGACCACCTTTTCTGAATTAAGCATCATCCATTCCAAAACCATTTCCACAAATACATCCTACCCTTTTCTCATCATCAACTTCTACTTTGCATTGTTGAAACTTTCCTTACCAAATATTCTATTCTTTCATCTTCCTTTTTATTTCCATTCCTGAGCAACTCCCTACCTCAAAATAGCAATCCTACATTTGACACTAGCCAAATGCAAATTTCACCCCATTCTCTCTTATTATTCCCTAAGCTACTAATTCCCACAGCTACCAACCTTCCACCTGCTCCCTGCATCTCTGGATGGGTCAAAATACACTCCATTGCTCTGCAAATCATCACACATGACCCAAACATCATTTATGTGTATCTCTCCCTTTTCAACATCTCTACATGTCAAACTTATCCTAATCATTTCTCTCCCTTAGCCTTGACACATGGTGCTCCAGATTGATGATTTTGCTTGTAATTGATTGGTTCCTGAGTTGCACATTACCTCTTGCATATGGATATCTGGCCTCATTGCCAGGTCCAATGCTAAATTCTTCTACATCAGTGTAAGCCATATCCACCTGTGATTGTTACTCACTGATCTTGTTGGTCACTTTATATCCAGTAAATTGCTTAAATCTTGTTGCCTCTGAATCCTTAACATTCTTAGGTTAAAAACCTCACTTATTCTCCAATCTCTCCTTAATCATTCTTCTAAAAACTGAGCTTCTTCCCATCACAGTTACAGTCACAGTCACAGTCTCTGTCTTGAATCTTGTTTTCAATCAATTTGATGTTGTCATCCCCAATGCTAAACTTGTCCATTTCCAAAACTGATCTCTTCTCCTCTCCCTCAAGCAAAACAGTTTTAATTGTTTTTTCTTCCACTTCCTTTAGACCCAAGAGCTGTGTGTACTTTGATCATTGAAGAATATCCTATTCAAACTTCTCCTACAAGACCATCTCCTTAATTTGGAGCTCAGTTTCCCCATGATCCCAAATGATGAACAACTGAAAACATGATTGTTTTTTTGTTTGCCATTTCCAGTCCGATCAAGTCTTTCAGCTCAATTTTCCATATGTGATTATTCCAGAAACAGTTCTTCCCCAATTGACAGACATCAAACTAAATTTACTGAGGAACTTGATTCCGCAATACATTTTGAGTGTACATGGGTGCTTTGTGAGGATTTGGAATGTGTTGAGGGATGGGTGAGATGATGATGACTTGGAAGTGAGCAATGGAACATTGACATGTGTGTGTGGAAAATGTTCCCTTACCAACATTTTTTTTTATTCTGTTTAAAAAATACACAAAAAACAGTCCCAAATTGAGATTCAAATTAGCATGTGCTATGTGCCCTAAATATGGGGAAATCCAGGTTTTGGATACATGAACAGATAAAGTTTTTCCTGAGCATTTAGTTTTTGCTACAGACTACATCAGTATCATTTTTTGTATGCATGCAGAAAAGTCAGGGGAGAAAAGTATTTCATTGGGACATCCAACCCACAACCAACCCTTATCTTCCATAAATATATTTTCAAAATGGGGATTTTTCTAACCTGGAAGGGACAGAATCTTGATTTTTGTACAAAAATCTGAACAAAGATTCAAACTGCATGAGTAAACTCAGCCAAAATAAAGGCTGATTTGCTACATATCCATTGATTTGCACCAGAATCATTTTGAAAAAAGTGTTTTGCTAAGTGGCACATACGCAGGCTTGGTTGGGGTTGGGGATCACCGGGGTCTTAGAGATCGTTTGTCCGTACTTTTTGCAGGTACCTGGTACCTCCTGGGGGGTACCCCTTGCACCCGCCCCGCACCTGCCAGGAGGTGCCAGGTGCGGTACTTGGTACCTATTTTTGTGAAAAATTGAACAGGTACCTAGGTACCTCTACAGGTACCCCCTCACTTCCTTACCAAAGATCAAAATGATAGTGGCCTTCTACTCCAAGATCCAAGAAGGTACCTTGGATGCATGGAAACAGGGACTCAAGGATAAAAAGAGGTCTAACAAAAAATCAAAAAGGAAGGTGATGGTTTTGGATGACAATGAAGATTCTTCCAATTAGTTATACATTTTAGATAGTTTCAACTTTTCAATAAATTATCAAATATGAACAAATGAAAAAAGTGATCTGGGACTGATGTTTTACAATAAATATGAAAAAAATAGAAAAGTAAGATTCTTCCAATTAGATGTAGATATATTACAACAGATATTAAAAAATGCCAAAAAAAGTGACTTGTGAGTGATATTTTACAATAAATATGAAAAAATAATAATAATAATAAAGTGACTTGGGACTCTGGGAGTGAAACTAGGTGAAAAAGAGAAGGGGGGTACCTGAGGTACCTGCAACGGGTACCTTGGGTACCCCCCGGGAGGTGTCTGGTGCGGTACATGGTATCTATTTTCTTGAAAAAATGAACAGGTACCTAGGTATAAACAGGTACCCAGGTCCGAACAAACAATCTCTATCCCAAACCCCTCTGAAAATATTCCGTATCTCTTATCTCCTTCCATCCCATGCCAATAATTCCCACACATCAGTTATGTTTCAGACTAATACTCTTTTGATAGTTGCTTCCCATTGCTTGTTCAATCCCCATCTGGGTGAAATAAGTACCCCAACCTCTTCCTCTTGATAATAATATCCAAGCCTCTCTCTGTTTCAGACTGAATTCCTTATCTTATTTTAGCTTGGCTCTTTCTCTTGTTTCAGTCTAGTCTCATCTTATCTTAGTGCCACACTAAATTGGGTCACATTGTTCATAGTTACAATTTTCCTCCTTGTTCATTCTTTGGTTCATTCTTTGTTTCCCTTGTTCATTCTTTGTTGCCCATGTTCATTCTTTGTTTCCCTTGTTCATTCTTTGTTTCCCTTGTTCATTCTTTGTTTCCCATGTTCATTCTTTGTTTCCCTTGTTCATTCTTTGTTTCCCTTGTTTGTTTTTTGTTTCCACTTTGTTCCCTCCACTTTCCAACTACAAGCTGGCCACTCCCCAGAATATTATATATGATTAGCTTTGTTTTTCTTTTCATTTTTTCCAGATCAGATCCTGACACAGCAATCCAGATAACTGATCACCCATTATTGGCCAGGTATATGCTCATAAATATTTGAGATACCTTGGTTTGTGAACAAGTATTATTTGAATTGGTAAACATGAGACATATCAGACATACCACTTTCAAGGAATCTCCATAGCCACACCTATTCCTCAAGATTTCATACTCTTGTTCTTTTCTTGTTATCTTACTCATCCTAGCTCCCAGAGAGGCAATCCATTAAAGCACCATTCCCTCTCAAGCTCTATTCCTCCCAAGAGTAGTTCCAGTACAGAGCCAGTGCCAAATTGGTGCACTCGATCAACTGAGCAACAAAAAACCCTGATCACTGGAGACACTATTTTGAGTGATAGAATTTCATGGATTCTATGTGACAAATGTGAGTTCTAAAAAAGGGCACATAGCAAAATGATTTTAGCACTCCCATTGGAATTGCTCTAAGTCAAGTGGAGATGGCCCCACCGCATCCGGATATCTGCGCAGATGCAGATGTCCGCTCACGTTTTCAGCGGAATAGGACATCTGCATCTGCATCCACATCCACTGGCAGGTATCTGAGCGGGTATCCTCAGAGATCCGCCCCTTAATTTCCACCTAGGGTGGTTGGAAGGGGCGGCCTGCAATTGACTGGAAGGTCTCCCTTCTAGCCAATGGGGCACAAACTTGATGACCAGAAGGTCTTCCTTCCAGCCAATGAGGTATATGCCTTCCAGTCAACAAGGTACATGTACAGTGGGTGGACCGTTATTTTTGGCTGCTTGTTTTGGGTTCTACAGCTTCAAAGCACAAACTTCAAGTCACAAGACTTGGTGAATTGGTGCATAATAGGTCCCAAAGAATGAATATCAAAAAATGAAAACAAAAAACAAAATTTCAAAATTTGTGAAAAATAAAAAATAAAAATATTTTTTTCCAAAAGCTTTGATATTCATTTTGGGGGAGTGGAATCACTGGAAGAGAGAAAGAATGGAAAATAGGAAGAATGATTATAAATGAAGATTCTAAAAAAATGGTTACCAGTTGGTTTTGAACAGCTGTTGAGTAGGGCATTCACCAGCT